ATCGTGTGTCTCTCCTTGAGCCCTTGCCATGCTGACCATGGTCACACTTGCACAACCCCACTGCCCCATGCTCCACTGGACCCCATCCACTGTGTCTCCAGTGAGTGAGATTGTCCCCAGCCCTTCTCCTGGTATAGATTTAGATATGCAGAGTGCGTGTGTCCTGAGGTCAGACTGTCTCACACCTGTGTCCACAGGGCCAAAGGCTGGGAATTCCAGCTTTCCGTCAGGCTCAGCTGTCACCAAGCCCCACAGAGAGGATAATGGTCTGTGGAAGAGAGGTGTTCAGATCCTGGGCTGACAGATGCCTGGTGGCCATCCAGAGCTAGTGGAGCTGTTGTTCCTGCACCAAACCCACTCAGAGCTGCTTCCTCGGAGGGCCCAGGGCTCCTCCCATCGGTGCAGCAGCTGAGAGCGTGGTTTTCTCCTCTGCACACACGGGCATTTATGTCTTTGCTTTAATCCGAGTGCTTTGTTGGATTGTCTCTAATTCACTCTTCTTGACCATGAACTCCTGGAAAACATTCAGTTGGTCTAGTAGAATTTTGCTGCAACATCGCGAACACAACCATTTCCTCTTTGCTTATTGGAAAGGAGCTGGCGTTTACTGTATTTTAGTGGCATATGGTGCTAAGATTTTTATCATACTTTATTATAAAGAGCCAGGAAACTTTCTGTACTTAAAAATGTGTGTTTATAAACACTAGACCCACAATGTCTATTCCCATCTGTTAGGTGAACGGGAATGCGTAGGAATTCCCCTAGTAGGTGGAGGCTTTACAACTTTTTTGGTACATTTTTTTCCCTAGTGAAACATTAGACTGAGAAGATGGTAGAAAACAGCATATGCCTAATACTCAATTTTGTATCTGTTTCTGCCTAGTGTTTGAAAGCAAAGCTATTTTTGTGGATTAATACGTATGACTGTGATAGAAATTCATAAGAGTGTAAAATCCATTTAGTATATTGTAAAACAAAAAAAAAGAAAAAGTAGCAAGAATGACAATTTAGAAGTATGGTTGTGGTGCAGTGAAGAAACAGCCCTTGGCCCTTCTCAAGCCTAGCTCACAACCATGAGATTTCTCGCCTGAAACCTTTACTGACTTTGTTTTCACCTAATCTCTACACTCATCTTTATTATAATTACAGTATATAGTAATCAGGGCTGCTCATCTTTCAGTCCTAATTTGTAATTTAAATAAATGGCATTGACTTCTTGTGTTCAGTTTGATATTATTCTGATTATCTTAAATAATTAATTTTTTTTTGTTTGAGATGAACCATTTCTCATGCTGGAATAAAAACTTGGAAGATTAAAACTCAGCAATGTTATTTTTTCCTTTTCATAAAAGATTTTTATTAATTCTACCATAGGATCTGAGGAAGGTTTCCAGAGGGAAAACATACTTTGATTAATGTTTGCTTAATGCAGACTTGCCGGGATTGTCCAAATGTTTTATTCACTTAAAAATTATGCCGATCTGGTCCTTTTTCAGGTTGACTAATTGGACATACTTGAAGAAAAAGATGAGCAATTAGTCGGATATAAGTGATTTCAAGGTGTGCTCAGGAAACGAGCAAATGAAACCTACAAGGCCCTGTGCCTCCACCTGGCATTTCTTGAGTTTCCCTGATTTTACTTTGTAGTTAGGAGAGTGGGAGAAATGTGTAAAACAAAAATACAAAATCATAAAAAACCCAAACTGAAGTCCCCCACCCCAGACTGTCCTTGGACAGCCTGAGCTGCACCCATCCTTTGATGACCCTGTTGCCAAACATCTGAAAACCCAGCAGGAACCCACGCTCAGGAGCTGGCTCTGTCCCATGGTGCCCTTCCTCGACCTCCAAGGCCATGAATCTTTGTCTCAAGGGGTGGCTGGCAGAGGACAGGTTTTCAGATGTCTGGCCATCGCTATGCTCCAGGCTCTTCAGCTAAACAACAGGTAACCCTGAAAAATGAACAGAAATGCCCATGAGGCGTGTCCTATGTAGAATTATTAATTACACAGGACAGAAAGGGCAACAGTTGCCCCAAAACAATGTCCAGAAGGCAGGAAGGAACAGGAAAGAAGAACTAATGGAAGTGAGGAACCCAAGGAGGGAAGGGGAAGAGTGCTGTCAGCTTGAGGGAGTTGTGACCAGTGCTAAAACTATATATCAGCTGTATTTAACTGAATACATCTAGAGTGTGTGTAACAGAACACATAACCAAACGTGACCCAGCACAGCCTTTGGGTTAACGGCCTGATGCCCTATAGACTATGCTGCCAGTGCACCCTGGTCTAGGCTTAGGGGTGGAAATAGAAATGACACTACTGTTGAGTTATCCAGAATGATCTTGTAAATTAATGTCAAGATGTATGTGGAGGATTAGAAGAGGCAAGTGTGTAAAAGGAACTGGGAGTGTCCGTACCAGGGCCAAGAGCCGCAGCTTTCTTACTTCAACCCATCCATGGCCATGGAATTGGTTCTGATTCATAGCCCTCTGCCAGGACAGAGTAGAGCTCCTAGGGCGCTCTGGTGGCCTAGTGGCAAGAAGTTGCATGCAGTCCCTAAGGCACTGGGTTTGAGGCTACCAGCTGCTCTGCGGGAGATGGACTGGCCACCTCCTTCTGTGTGATTAATTGCCTCTGCAAACACGCCAGAGGATCTGCTATGGGTTGGTTCTGATTCTACGGTACACAACAACAACAACTTCTTGTGGTAGCTGACCATTCAATTTTCTCTTGAAGGGCAGCTTGTGTGTTCAAACTGCAAACTTTTCAGTTAACAACCAAACACATAAATCCCATTATTACCACAACTCTCTCTGCTTTACAAAAGCCCAGACCAGTGTTGTCCAGTCAACTGTGACCTGCCAGCAAGTCTGTGAGGCTGTAAATTTTTACAGGAAAAAAATTGCTTGTCTTATGTCCATGGAGCAGCTGGTGAATTCGAGCCACTGGCTCCACGCACTCCATTCCATCCCCAGGGCTCTCCTCTTTGCGTAAGTGATATCTGAATCCCACCCTTTAATTATTCTTTGAATTTTTTTTATTTTATGATTAACTTCAATGAAAATTTACAGAGACTTTTGATTTCTATTCATTCATTGATGCACTTTTCTCCCTGCCCCCCACCCCAGTACACTCTTCTCTTTGAAAAGTAAAAGAAAAATTCTTCCGTTGTTTTACAATCCCTTCCCCCAGGTCCACTCCACTATGCAGCCTTCGTTCTAGACCCTTGCCATGACAAAAATACCTAATCACATATCCCTTTTAAATAGTTTCTCCTTTATCTGTTTCAATGCAGTATACATTATTGAACCCATCTTTCTCAGTCTCCCCCCAACCCCGAAGTCAGTCCTGTTTTACAACAGTGGCACCATGCAGGATTTGTCCTTTTGTGACTGAGATACTTTACTCAGCATAATGTCCTCCAGGGTCACCCATTTTGAATAATATTGCATGAGTTCCTTGTTTTTCAATGCAGCCTACTATTCCATTGTGTGAATATACCACAGCTTCTCTACCCATTCGTTTGTTGATGGGCACTTAGGTTGTTTCCAACTCCTTGCTATTGTGAACAAAGCCGTGATAAACATGGGTGTGCATATATCTGCTTGGATGTCAGTTACGATCTCTTTGGGGTATATTCCCAGTAGTGGAATTGCTGGGTCGAATGGTATCTGTATTTGCCACTTTTTGAGAAAGCTCCATACTGCCTTCCACAGTGGTTGCACCATTTTACACTCCCACCAACAGTGAATAAGGGTTTCAGTTTCTCCACAACCTTGCTAGTGTTTGTTGCTTGCTGTTCTGTTAAATTTTGCTATTCTGACTGGAGTGAGATGATATCTCATAGTTGTTTTGATTTGATTTTTTAAAATTTTTTTATTATTATTATTTTTGTGTGAGTGTACCGTCAAATCAGATCTGACTGGTACAGGAGGAGATCGTCCCTCCTTACCCGGCAGAGCATCTGGTGGATTCGAACCATTCGCCTCTGGGATTGTAGTTGCAGCTCCTTGCCACTAGGCCACCAGAGCTCCCCTTGATTTGATTTTTTTTTAATGAGTCAACATATTAGAGTTTGTTGTTCCCCATTCTGGAAAAAATTTTGGGAAAGTTCAGCAGAGATAGAGTCATCCCTGTGGTGCAGGGGTTAAACACATTCTGCTGCTGATGGAAAGGTTGAAGGATCACATCCACCCAGAAGTACCTTGTAAGAAAACTTGGTGATCTGTTTCTTAAGACTAAGCCATTTGTAGCCTGGGGGGACACAGTTCTATGCTAATAGGCAGGACGTCATGGTGAGTCAGATTTGACTTCTGGAGACATAGCTGTAACTCATGATTGCCTGGAAGATGTCACTTGACTAGAATGACAACTAGTTCACCTTCGTTATTCTGCCAGCCAGCAGTGAGTGGTATCAATGGCATACCCTGTGCAAGGCACCACAGCTCTAGTTTTGAATAAAGCAGATGCAGCCCCTAACCTCATGGACTATTTGCAACCCAGTAGTGGAGACAGATAGTGATGACATAATAACAGAAACACGTAGCAACAGTAGTGAACTCCTTGGTTGGGGCGGATGGTGTGGATATTAGATTACAAAAATAATTTGTGTGTGTGACTTCATAGCTCATTCATTTTGATTACTGTAATTTTAGTAAAAGTTTACAAGCAAATTGGTTTTCTATTTAACAATTCATACACATTGTTTTATGACATTAATGAAAATCCCCACAGTGTAAGTGCATCCTCCCACTTCCTCCCTGTGATTCTCATTTCTGTTCATCCTCTTTCCCAGCCCTTCCCACCTTCTGGCCTTTAGCCCCAGGTGAATGCTGTCTTTTTGGTCTACACATGCAGTTGATTGTTCTAAGGGGCAAGGATCTCCCTGGTGGTGGTGGTGGTGAAGTTACAGCCTGGCTGTTGTGTGTATGAAAGTTGGCTCAAAGTGTTGAGTTTATTTCCTGGTTTTGATATGCAACCACTAACATTCCTTGTCTTTGGCAGGTACACCATTCCATCTCTCCAGAGGCTCCATGCTGGCTTTTACCGCTGTGTTGTGCGAAACAGAATGGGGGCGCTCTTGCAGCGAAGATCGGAAGTCCAAGTGGCATGTATGTGTATATAAAACAGACGCCCCAGCACTGACTAGCAGACCGCGTCTCGGGGGGCCTTGTGAAAACCCCTTACAGCCGTTGTAAAAAGAAGTTGAGATTTTGTCTTTGATTCTGTTTGGAAGAGAGTAACTGCAAAGTAAAAACCAGCTGGAAAAGATAAGTAAACAGCTGATATGACTGATTACATGATGGTGCTAATGAGGCATATACCACTTTCCCCCCTTTAACTCAGGCAGATTCAGGGCCCTCCAGGGCCCTGTGGGCATTTTAACAAAGTGGACAGACACCTGGGGTTGGCAATCAATTGATTTTGATTGTGACTTTGATTGTATTCAGATTCAAAATATTTTAGAAATAAAACATAAAACTCGTTTAGATAACAGGCCATCAATTCATAATTTTCCTTTTCAATCATGACTTGCCGAGAAGTCCCTCCTTAGCTGCCCAGCCCGCAGGGCTCAGGTCTTAGGTCCTGGGTGGCAGTGAGGCTATGTGGCTTGAGTCGGCCGAGCCACTGCCAAGAACGAGGCAGTTGGCATCACTGTACCAGGTATGACACACTTGAGCGTTTGCCTTTAATTCACCACTTTCCCCTTCTCATAGATAATGAGTCTACAAGTAAAAACCCATCCATCGAGTCTGTTCTTGAGAGTGGGGACCCTCGATTGCTCTCCACAGCCATAAATCTCTATGAGAGGAGATTGTCCACCCTTCTCTCACTGAGAAGCTGGTAAATTCAAAGCACCCAACTTTTGGTTCTCAGCCTCGTACAATTCCCTGCACCCCAGGCCACCAGGCCGCCCTCCCCTCACAGAAGGAGTCCCTGTTCTCACATAGCACTGCTGAAGGCAATCCACATCCACTTCTCTTACCCTGCTTCCAACTTCTGACAAGCCTCCATCATGTTTTCCATCTTTTATTTGGGGGCAGGAGGAATGCCCTCTTTTCTCCCTTGAGTTGGCTGGTGGATTTGAACCATTAACCTTTCTATTAGCACCTAATACACCTCCATACCAAGTACATGTTATCTGTTATGGTCACTTTTAGGAGAGAGGGATGAGGGAGTGTGGCCTGTGGAAAGCACTGCATGCTTTTAAAATTCAGAATCTACTAAAGATAGAACCTAACTAAAATTAGCCCTGGGAAAGTCTGAGTTACGGACCTCTCCAAATTAGTGAGGAGTAATGATGTCAGTTGGAGGACAAACCTGCTTCTGATTCAGGACTTAGTCTTTCCGATCACTTGTTATGCATATGCGAGCAGGACAATGAGGAAGGATGACAAAAGAATTGATGCCTTTGAGCTGTGGTGTTGGAAAAGAGCACTGACCATCCCATGGATGGCCAGGAGAATAAACTGATATGTCTTGGAGAGGGTGCAGCTGGAGTGCTCTTTGGAAGCAAGAATGATGAGACTTCATCTTACATACTTTGGGCATATTGCTAAGAGTGGTTGTTCCTTGGAGAAGGACATGATGCTGGGAACGGTGGAGGGTCAGTAAAGGAGAGGGAGACCCTCGACCAGGTGGATTGACACGGTGACTGCTACACTTGACTCTAATGTGTCAGGAAGTGTGAGGATTGTACAAAATAGAATAGGGTTCAGATCTTTTGTTCATAGTGTCACTATGACTTGTACTCGACTCAAGAGCATCTAATAACAACAACAACAAAGATTGACTGTCTGCTTTATTATGCTTTGAATTTACCACTAAAACTAAGCAAGAAGAATGCTTTGGAATTGTAACTTAGAGTATCACGTGTCATAGTCAGTTTTGGGAACCCTGCCGAGCTCCAGAGTGGGGCTGTGCCTTGTAGGGCAGCAGTGTTGTGCCATGTGTCACCATGACCCCAGCTGAGGTCTGTTGTTTCCTATGTCCTTGTGTAGGATATGGTAATTCCTGCCCTCCTACAGTGGTTGCTAACGTCTGAGTGAGGTGCTGGTGCTAGCCATGTTTAATGACTTTTTTTTTAAACCACTGCAAAGCTTTAAATTTTCCTGAATTGTGTTGGGTAAGTCAATCAGCTAAATCTGCAGAGTAATTCAGAACTGTTTTTCAACTGAATAATTGAAAACATAATTAATAAACAAAAACTGCAGATCAATACCCAAAACATACTTGAATACATTAACAGCTTGGAATTTATTAGAATACATTAAATTCTGGCTTACAAAATGGTTTTGGACATTTTCCTAATCATCTCTATCCTTGTTTCTCCACTTGATCTCTAGCAGTGGGATTTTCCCCTTATTTCTCTGTTCTTCCATTTGATAACAAATTTCACTTTAAAGTAACCATAGCTACATGCCTAATCTGATTTAGACAAAAATATATTATTTCTGTGTCCTTGTCTCTGCGTCTGCAGGGCAGCCAGGTGGCACATTTCAGTGTTCTGCTGTTAGCCAGAAGGTCAGCCGTTCGAGCCCACCAGCAGCTCTGTGGAAGGGCTGTTGAGAGGCTGTCAGCTCCAATAAACACTACGCTCTCTCCCCTGCCCTCCCCAACCTAGGCAATCCTGTGAGATGGCTCTGCTCCATCACATAAGGTCACTGTGAGGCATCGTACCTGTCAGCTGTGATGGCACACGTGCCTGCTTTAATGGGACACTTACTCAACCATTTCAAACTTTACTACTATTAAATCAAGGAACTCTTGTGACTTAATGGGAAGGAGCTGCACTGCCAACCCAAAGACAAGTGGTTCGAATCTGCCAGCTGCTCTGTGAAGGAAAGATAGGCGTTCTCCTCCTTTGGGATTTACAGCTTCTCAAAACCCACTGGCGGGTCAGCTGTGCGGTGGTTCTGACGACATGGCGCACAACAACAACAGATGTAAAGTAGCTACTTAAGCCCACATTCCAGCTGGTGCCTTGTGTTTTCTTTCCCCCGTGACCCTACTTTTTTTCCCTTGTCTTTCTCACTGTGCTCTGGTTTTTGTTCTGTTTGGTGGCCCCACTTGTTAAAAATTATGTTACAAGTAAAAACAAAACTTACTTGGCCTAAATTAAGGCAGAGCAGGGCACATTGCTCAAAAAAGGAGATCCTTAGAAAACATTGCTATCAAATCACCTGTTAAGTGGTGTCCTCAAAACTCTAAGGGAGGGAGAAGGTGAGGGGGCCAGGACCACAGCCAGAGGAGGTCTGCACCCACGCTGACCATCTCTGTGTGAGCACCGCCTCCCACGTCCCTTCCATCTACAGCATGTTCCTGGGCAAAGCAACTGCAGGCGTTTCATTGAGTTGTTGCAGCTAGAATGGTGCCAGTGCTGGGTGCTGTGTGGGTTGGTGTATTTCCAGAGCCCTGTGGAGGCCCTGGTGCCGCCTGCACAGCGTGCCCATGCTCCTGTGTCCCCGTGTCCTCCTGCCTTACCGCAGCAGTGACTGGGCTAGAAAGTAGAGGCATCTCCACCTTTGACCGTCCCCAGGCCTCAGAGCTGGTTTTTTTCTCTCTGCAGACATGGGGAACTTCATGGAGGTGGACCAGCGGAAGACAGTTTCCCAGGGACAGGCAGCTGTCCTCAACTTACTTCCTATCAACAGCTACCCCAGACCTCAAGTGACGTGGTTCCGAGAAGGACACAAGATAATTCCCAGCCACCGAATGTAAGTTGCTCCTACAGCTGGTCACACTGCTGGGGCCACTTCCATGTTCAGCATCCCAGCAGACTGGGAAGAGGTGCAGATCTAGCTTCCCCTCCAGTCCCTGGACAACTGCTTGTTCCCAAGGTTGGCAGTTTGCAGGCAGCCTGAGAATCTAGCCAGTTCTCGCGCCCTCCACCCTCCCGCTTACCCTGCGCACTAAAGCTCCAGTTCTACCTTCCTATGTCTGCCTGTGTGTCTCCTTTGTTTATTTTGTTAATAAGGTCAATTTGGGGAGGGTACATTTTTTGAATTGTGGTGTTCAGCTCTGAGTTGTGTTTGGTTCCAAGTTCTAATTTAATGATGGCTGGTATTTACTTATAGAGCTGTAGGGTCCCCCCCTTTTATTGAGCTATATTTGATACTACTTTCTCTGACGATAAAACAGTAATTACTGCTTATTTCTCTTTATCCTTTTATCCAACCATGACGGTTTTATTTCCCTCCGTCTAATTAGTGGTTCGCCCATCTATTGCCAAATCATTGCTTTGTGATTAGTTAAGCATTATTTCAAGGTGTTCTTGCCTACACTGCGTTCAAGATATTTATCTAATGCCAAACAGGTTTTCTCCATTTGGAGTGTTAAGTGATTAAAGAGAACATTTGGTATGTATTTTGTAACTCGGCCTTTTGGAGTCTGATTTAAAGACAGAATTTGGAATATAAGGGTTTCAAGGGCAAGTATTTCTGAAAGAATCATGAGAGGCTGTAAAGTTGGGCTAAACGTGAAATATTTATGGTTGTGCCCAGATAAAACCTATGGGCGAAGAGCTCTTGTTTTACTTTTTAATTTTTTTACAGAAAAGAGGTGTATGAGACAGTGTGCCAAACCAGTTTCAAATGTGATCATGAGAGTAATTGTGGGGAATAACAGGGTTTTCTCCTCTGTTTGAACCCCATGAATCTTTTTCCAAAGTCACCTCTCTTCCACCTGCCTGAACCTAGAATATTCTTGTGCTTGTGTGTCACATATTCCTTGTTTCTGGTGACTGGGAACAGAGGAACCACTGCAATCCGTAAAAGCACATTTTGAACCTTCAGTAGTGCCTATATGACGGAAGATAGGGTAAGGCCTGTACGCTCTTCTTTATTTCATTAAAAGTTGTCCACGACCCGCCTTTCTCTTGACTCTAATCAAAACAGATGTCCCCAGAATTCTCCTGGACAAAGAGGAAAGACCAGGCACTCATTCTCTTAGGGGAATGTGGTGCTGAAAGAGAACGCACTGCCGCATAAATCCCCTGCGAGTGACCCTTGGGAGCATGGCGTGGTGGGCACAGTGGGAGGAGTGGAAGACAGATAGGGAGTCAGTACTTGTGATCAGCCACACCCACCACATTGCCAGCCCAGTTGATTGTGACCCAGGGCGACTGGTCAGATGTATGAGACCATACAACTCAACGTGAAGCCCCATCTTTCTTACTGGAAGTCCAGGGCCGGGTAGCTTGCATCAGGCTTTCTTTTAAACACTGGAGATTTAAATTCATGTCACTGATCACAAAATTCATAGCAGGAGGATCATTTTAATTTGTTGTTTTTGTCATGTGCCGTCGAGTCACCTACCAATCACAGCGACCCTATGTACTATACCCCTAAACCCTGCTGTATCCTGTGCCAATCTTACTGTCTCTGACACACCTACCCCCATGACCCCAGTCACTGAATCAATCCATTTTATCAAGGGTCTTCCTCTCCTGCACTGTCCTTCTACACTTCCAAGCATGACGTTCTTCTCCAAGGACTGGTCCCTCCTTAAAACATGTCCAAAGTATTTCAGGAGAAGCTTCAAAATTCTTGAAGGAGCAGCCTGTTTTAACCCTCTCTGGGATGAACCTGTTCATTCTCTTAGCAGTCCATGTATTCAATAGTCCAACACCATAGCTCAAAGGCATCAATTCCCCTGCTATCATCCTTAGTCATTGCCCAGCTCTGATGCATTCATTGCTCTCTGATGCATAGCAAGTGATTGTAAAGACCACGGCCTGTATCAGGCGCACCTTAGTCTCCAGACTGACAGCATTGCTCTTCAGTACTTTGGAGAGGTCTCTGACAACAGACCTTACCAATACAGTATGTTTTTTAATTTTAATTTAGTAGCAAATAATGCTGTCATCATCCATTTGTGGACAGTTGTCCAGCTGCATCATGAGACAAGAAACATTTACTCAGTAAGCATGAAAGCCACAGGACATAGATTAAAAGAATGACTCTTCACTTTGAGAAGCTTTTGTTTGTTTGTTTCTCTTTGACTTGAAAATTCACATCCAACTCTGCAAAATTCCTGGTGACATAACTCCATACTCAGTGCCGTCTTAAACAAATGGTCTGCTCGCAACCCTATTGATGAATTTCCAATCTCAGTGGAATAACATGCTAGTCAGTCTACCTTCTTTTTAAGGAGATGAGATGAGGCTGATTATGAATATTTACACTTCTGTCAGGACCTTGAGCTCCGTATTTCCAGCTCGTCATCACCCCACGTGCATTAAGTACCTGCTGGGCAGAGCCCATAAATCTTTTCTCCCCACTTACATGTCCCTCAAAGATAGACTGCTTTCCACCGCCCAGAAAGCTCCGCTCAAGACTGCAGCAGACACAGCACACCTGCGCCAGCCCACCAGGGGTCTGCAGGTGGGAGCTGGACGACACGGGGTTGGTGAAGCTGTCAGAGGGGCAGCTAGGCCCAGAGGCCTGGCTCCAGTCTTGACACCTAATGAAGAGCCCGTGGAGCTTCCGACCCTGCTTTGGCCCTCGTATGGTGAGGTCACGCCCTCACAGGGAGGAGGTGGCAGGGGGTTCCCACCTGAACCCACCTCCTGATCTTACCATCACCTCATGACCTGCAAGATATGCTTCAGGTTCAAATTAAATGCTTTTAAAAAAATTCATCTTCAAGTCTTCTGCCTCCTACCTTGAGAAATTGAACCACCCATTAACACTAATAGGAGCTAGTATTCTTTTGGGTGCCTGTGTTAAACCCATCTTCAGTAATCCTCACGAGTGCCTGCCATGACTAGTAGTCCACTTACAGTTGATCAGAGATGTAAACTGGGCTAGCCAAGGGCACCAAGCCCTCCGCACTGCTCCCCAGCCAATCCTGACCCTGGCTGGCCCTCTAACCTAGCTGAGTAGACTGCCCCACGGGGTCTCCAGGGCTGTGATGTTTATGAGAGCCGACTGACAGCGTCCTCCTTCCCAGCAGCTGGTGGGTTTGAACCACTGATGTTGCAGATAGTCGTCAAGTGCTCAGCCTCTGTGCTTTGAGGAGCCCTTCCTTGTTCAACACATTGCTGCACACTTTTAAATTGACGACCGTGCTTAGAAACATATTTTGCCGTCATTTGTGGCAACGTGTTAATTGCTGTCCTGTCGAGTTGGAGCCTGCTCTTAACTGGCCCTCAGACTGGTGGAGGCCCAAATCAGAGGCCTCCTCAGGTGCTCCTTTTTGTCCCTTGGCAAGAATCCCTCCTCCAGCCCCAGAGCTGCACACACAGCCTGTTGGCCCCGGGCTGCTCAGGGCCCCTGAAGCCCCATGCCCGTCCCTTTCTGGCAGTCTGCACCGTGTGACCTTTCCTCCTGGCCTCACCTGGGTGCCCAAACTCGTTCAGGATGACACTGTTTTTTTCTTCTTCAAGGAACTTAGTGAGAAATTCCTGCTTGTGATCCCCAACACACACATACACACACACACCCCTGCATGCTGCAAATGCACACACACACACAACCCACATGTTGTTGTTATTCTTATGTGCCATCGAGTTGCTTGCGACTTGTAGCGATGCTATGTACAACAGCTCTAAACTCTGCTCTATCCTGTGCCAATCTCATTGTCTCTGACATACTCATCCTGATTGCCCCAGTCACCAAATCAATCCACCTCCCAGAGGGCCTTCCCCTGCTGCACCTGCCCTCCACCTTCCCAAGCATGATGTCCTTCTCCAAGAACTGGTCTCTCCTTACAACATGACCAAAGTATGTCAGACGAATCCTCAGAATCCTTGCCTCCAAGGAGCAGACCGGTTTAACCCTCTCCAGGATGAATCTTTTGTTTTCTTAGCAATCTATGGTACCCTCAACACTCTTCTCCAACACCAAAGCTCAAAAGCATCAATTCTCCTTCTATCCTCCCTGGTCATTTTCCAAGTCTCTGACGTATAACAAGTGATTGCAAAGACCATGGCCTGTATCAGATGCACCTTAGCCTCCAGAGACACACCGTTGCTCTTCGGTACTTTGGAGAGGTCGCTAACAGCAGACTTTCCCATCGCAATACATCTTTTTAATTTCCTGGCTGCTGGTGCCAAGAGAGTTGATTGTGGAGCCAAGCAGACTAAAGCTGTGAACAATCTCAGTCTCTTCACCTTCCATCCTGATGCTGCCAATTGGCCCAGTGGTGAGAATCTTTGTCTTCTTGACATTGAGCCTCAATCCATATTGAAGGCTGCAGTCCTTGGCCCTCAGCAGCAAGTGCTTCAGGTCCTCTTCAGTTTCAGCAAGCAGGGTATGTCATCTGCATAACGCAGACTGTTGATAGATCTTCCACCAATCCTGATGCCACATTTCTCCTCATAGAGTCCAGCCTCCTGGATGATCAGTTTTGCATAGAGGTTGAAAAGGTATGGAGACAGGACACATCCCTGGCATACGCCCTTCCCAATTTTGAACCATGCAGCAGCATGGGATGGAAATGTAAAATATTACAATGAAATGTGCAAGGACCTGGAGTCAGAAAACCAAAAGAGTTGAACTTGCTCAGCATTTCTTAAGTTCAAGGAACTGAAGAACAAATTCAAACCTTGAATTGCTATAATCAAGGATGCTTTAGGCAGAGTATTAAATGATCCAGGACGTATCAAAAGAAGATGGAAAGAATATTCTGAGTCATTGTATCGAAAGGAATTGGCAGACACAGAAGAATTTAATGACACAACATATGAGCAAGAGCCTATGCTGATGAAGGAAGA